TTACTACTTGAGAAAATTTGTGGAAGCAAGAATCTTGTTGATATGTTGACCAAGGGCGTTACACTTGAGAAACTGAAGTTGTGCTCGACTTCAGTTGGTCTTCTAGCTTGAAGATAGTGGTTTTGAGTTTCAGAGGTGGAGGATATCACGTTTGATGAAAAGGGCAGTGCAGCCAGTGGATGATACAGTTAGCGTCTCAGTCTCCAAGTGGGAGAATTGTTGAGGAAGGTGGAGACCCGGTCCACTTCCTATTACGACAGATTCATATTTATAGAAATCATTTGATAAATTGAAGATAAATGCATCTAAAAGAGACTGAAATCATGTATATAAAGCTTCTCGTGCCGCCAGATATTCTTCCCAGTTTGGAACCCCGCGTCTTTCTTTTCTAAGCTCTTCCCGCCTCTGTTATTTCGCAAATTAATCCTTGCTTCTGTGGGCTGGAAAATGAGAATTAATTTATGCTTCCCTTTTATGGTATTTGGGGAAGCAACAAGAAGGAAACAAAGAAAAATGAATCTTGTTTCTTTCCTATGGTGGGTCCTGCCATTCTTTCAAAGCAGAAAATAATTGGCTTTAAATAAATTAAGCAATAGGTTCTCCAATTGTAGCTTCTTCACGTTTCTTTTGTGCTTGTGGCTTCTCCTTTAGGTTTACGGTGGAGAAAAGGATGCACCATGCTTGCTACTCCTCCAAATCTACTTCTTTGGTTGTATATCTCTCGGGTGGGGAGATAGAGAGAGAAGGAGAGGAGAGAGAGAGTGAGAGAGTTTTCTTGTAATTGTCGATGTGATCGACGAGTGTAATTCCTCAAGTAATAAATTCTTCTGCAGCTCCGTGGACGTAGGCAATTTGCCGAACCACGTAAATCTAGTGTCGCCTTTTCTTGTATAATTTTCTCGATCCGATTTTTCGCTTTATTGCCGTCATTTTTTTCACAACATCACAGAACTTAGAGAAAAATCTAAGCTCACAAAGAAAGTTTGAATTCAATAATGAAAAGCAATCATCTAACATCTACAATTTACTTTTTTACACTTATACCTTACGTATTACATCAAAAAATATCACCATTTTTATAACTTTAAAAATGTGATATACACTTTTTCATGCATGGGTAAGACGGTACATATGTAAAAGTTAAAATTTAGGTGTTCAGATATGCAAATACATAGGAATTGAGTGCCATATATGTAAATCTTCCAAAAAATTTTTGGGCGGAACTTGCTTGTGTTGAAGGGTTTCTTTTGGTGAGAAGGTTTGAAATGAATAACGCATGTTACTCGGCTACTATTTGATTCCCACGTGTTTTGAAATGAAGTTCCCCTTCCTTCTCTAATACACAGTTTATGTATTTACAAGTGCAAGGCCTAGAGTTTGATATTTGTATTTTTAATTTTTTTATGCTAAAAATCTATACAGATTAAATTGTATTTGTTTTTAAATTTTTAATATTTTAAAGGTTTGTGTTTTATATTTTAAATTCACTGGTGTACATCATGAATGCACTGACACATATCCCGAGAAAACCCCACGATTTATAAGAAAGGAAGTTCGATAAAAGAGGTCACACCAACAGAAGATCAAAAGACACACTTATTCAATTGAATGCAACTATCTGAGTGAAGGACAAAGGCTAGTCGAGCTAAGAGAATGAACAGAGTATTAGTCTGAGCCTAAACTGATCGAACTAGAGCAAGACAGATAAGCACTTGAGTTAATGTCGAGTGAAAATATTGACTTACCTCACGACATAATTGTGCATAGAAATGGTGTTTGGGCCAACTTGGGGAATACATACAATATCCTTATACAAGTTGTAGAGCTGCAACAAAGAATTGAAGAGATTATATCTATACACCCACACACACATTTTTACATATATTATATAAAAAACTGTGCAAATAAAAAATAACTAAAATGCTATATATGTAAATCTTATATAAAAAACTGTGCAAATAAAAAATAACTAAAATAAAAAGTGTGGCAGAAGAGATCAAAACTATTTTAATTTATATGTATATATTTCACACATATGAAAATGTCATGAAAAGATAAAAGTGTTCCGGATTTTAATGTTTTCGTACGCTGAAGTTTATATCGCTCGAAAATAGGGAGTCAATTGATACACTATCAATAAATTTTCAGCTTCCACTATAAATCTTAAAACATGACGTGCACGGATCTCAAGATAATCTTTTGAGTAATAAAGTTCAAATTTTTATTAAAAATATATATAAGTATGATTTTAAAAAACTTATAGTTAAACTGACTAACTTGATGAGATGAACATAATGGTACTAAAATTGGTTCAATCGAGGCCAAAACAAGCCTCGATCAAGCCATTAAACAGTTTTTGAAAGATTTACGGGCATATTTGAGAGGTCAAATCGATGTCTCAGAATCAGATTAAGTGTCTCGACAAGACAAATCTAACAAGCTCGAGATTACTTTATTCTGACATCGTTGAGACACTCAAATGTTTATCAAATGTCGTTCGATCAAGGAAATCTCTTCGGATTGTCTGATCAAAGCAGTTCAGATTCTTTTCATTTAATTACAACTAAAAATCTATAAATATAGCCTCACTCTTCTATTGAGAGAGGTGAGAGCTTCAAACCTGAAGAAGACTAAAGCTCATAGAAGAAGTTGAAATCCCGCACCACTGTTGCAACGACGATATGACGTCCTCCGACCAATTTCAATCGTCCCCGCCGCCATCCGACCAACTTTGGCTACTTTTGCCTTCACTCAGCTCCTACTACAGTCACCTTCGACCAACTCTGATTGTCGTTGGCTTTGGCATCTATGATCGCCACCACCTCCGACGACTCGCCACTATCAACCATCATGGGTCGCCAACTACTCCTTGTGACAAAGCAACGTACAAACATATCACCATAACCATCACTCAGTCACTAAAGACAGTGCATTGAAGCCTTATTACTCCCCACTACGATCCTCCCTACTGTGGGGCAACAAGAACATCCACGTATCAATGTTGTAGATTGGGAGACTTGTGTGACCCTTTCCCATCAGTGAAAAAAGCGACTATATCTTTAATCACCAATTTATAATGAATCTCTTCAACTGGGCCAGACCCATTTGTCTTTTCGCTTTTTGGTTTTCCATGTAAAAATCTTATAGTTTCTGTCCATCGTTTATATTATCCGAGTGTATGTTGGATTCTCGTGTAACGTTAAGATGTTAATTAATCACTCCACCGCTGTGAATTCTCTTGCACAAATCAAACTTAATATTAAGTAATTGTTAATTAAGTATATAAATTAAGAAATACTTCGAATTTTATTAAGTAAATATATATTAAATCATTAATTAAATATTAAATAATTACATATAAATCATTCTAATTGTATTTAGACATGTTTAGTAGTGTAATTTTAACAGGATTTGGGTTAGATTTAAAGTAAATCAAGCCAAACAAGAAAAAATGAGAAGTTAAATTCCGGGCCTCATTAAAATTTGTTTTATCATTTTAATTTAGTTTTTTATGTAAATCAGGATTCTTTAAATCCAATTATCTTAGATAAAATGTCAAATACGTCTAGCAATTTTAAAAGTATTTAACCTCGACTGAACCAAACAGTATTATGCCTTTAATAACTTTATCGGATTTAGAGTCTGTTTGAGGCAGCTGCAATTTATTAAATAATCTGCTGATAAGCTGATTAAAAAAAATCTACTTATAAGCTAGGTGTGGTGGCTATTACAAATTTTCATTTTTTTGGAAAAGTCGGACTACTACTAGAAAGCTGCAACTGTGCCTAGATAGGTGCGGTGTGAAAACACTGTTTTCAGAGTTTTGAAAACGCATAAGCTACCAAAACACAGTTTACCCAAACAAACCAGATGCGTCTTCAAAATGCCACTGCATCAAATAAGCTACCCCAAATGCGCCATACTTAACCCTATTAAATGCAAATCCTTAGTGCGGCCAAACACCTAATAATATATGAATTAATTATTTTTTATTAATAGATCAAATTAATAAATTAACATAAATAAAAATAAACTGAAACCAGAAAGCCTATCCTACATCCTCCACCTCTCTTCGTTTTGTCTAAGCTTGCCATCTTCAATAAAAAAAAACCCTATCTTATTGCCTATCCCCTCTCAATTTCGCCCAACATCATCATGAATGAACCCTAGCGATTTATTAGTGATTAGAGCTAGCTTGGAAAGCAATGACAGGATCACAGTCAGTAGAGAGACCACAAAAACTCTCTTCATTTTCATCATTTTGCTCCGCTCCCCCTTCCCTTCTTTCCTAAACCCTCTACTTCCTAAGTTCTCGAAACCTCAAAGTCACGAGTAGATTGATGCTACCGAAGATAACCCTCACTTTGTGCTCCCAACCACTCCCCTCTGGTTGCCAAATCCATAAATCAACCATATCCCAGGTTTAGGGTTGTATGACAATGGATGAGATTCGAGTTAGTAAGATTTAGTAAATCCAAACTTAGTAAATCATAAAGGGGTTATATCCAAAATTTTTGTTCCGCATTTGATTTAGTAAATCCTGTTAAGACCTATAAAACTTTTTCATTTATGTCAGGATTTAAAAATCTAATATGCCGTTGGACTTTAATAACAAATTATAATAGGATTTAATCGTCTAAATTTGACCTTTTAATATATTTCAAAAGACACAAAATCAGCTAGCTTCTTAAATTTAATTAATATTTTTTTTCGAATTATGATAATTAATAATTATATGTTTACTAAACTAATTAATTATTAATACATATTTTATTAAATTATTTATTAAATAGAAGTTTAACATTTTTTAAGAAAATTAATAAATTAATAATTACTTATAAAATTATCGAATGAATAAAAAATTAATTATTTACATTTTATTAATTAGTGATAAATATCAATTCATTTAATTATAATTAATCCGATAATATATTGATTAATTATTTATAAGTTAAATAAAAAAAAAACATAAACAATATTAAATTAGTAAAACCCTCGCCTTCGCTTGCTTTTCGTCGAAAACCCTCGCTTTTTCGACGAACCCTCGCGATACAGTCGCCAATTCGCCATTGGAGCTGAGCTGAGAACGTACGACGGGATCGCGGCTTACGGAGAACTTAAGCTCGCATTCCTCTCCTCCTTCCGCTCCTCTCCTACCCGAACCATTGAGGAAGGTGACTTTACGCCTTCTCTTTCGCGCGAAGAGTACTTCCCGGGTTTACTAAATCCAACGATTCGCGGGATTTAGTAAATCCTGGATTTATAAAATCCGAGGCTTTATTTTGTCCAATCCGTGACCGTCTGGCATGATTTAGGTTAAATCCAGCTTAAATCCGTTACTAGACAGGCTAAATCCGGGGTCTTAGCGGAAACGCAGGCAAAACGGTATTTAAGAAAGCTTTAGATTTATGAATGCATATTTTTTCGTTTTGCCAGGATTTACGATAAATTCCGCCTAAATCCTGCTTAAAACCCGCTGCCACACAGCTGAGAAGTTAGACTCGTGGAGGGTGAGATGGTTCGTGCTTACGGAATTAAGGTTCCGAAGTCCCTGAAGCGGAAGAGATCGGATGAAGAGTTGGGATCTGAAGGTGCGGATTACAGGGATCATGCCAGGGAGGATGAGATGAAAAATGTGGACTTGATCGAAGATATGCCGTCGATCCCTATCATGCCACCGGTGGATGAGTCAAAGAAACATGGTGTGATATTCATTCTTGATAAGGCTCCCCTTGAGATCGGAAAAGTTGGGAACGTAAGTGGAAGTTGATCTTTTGAGTTGGTTTTTCAATTTCGTTCAGATCATGTCCCTCTGAGAATTTTTCGCTCTGATATATGCGTATGCATGCATTATGTGCTATGGCTTCATTGTACATTATTATTCATCATTAGCAAGTATTGGTAGGAGCAAGAACAAAGGCTAATAGCAGCCCTATTAAGAAGGGCAAAGAGCTTTTTGTTTTTTTTTGGCTAAAAAGAGTATTTTAGGCGCGCTCATATTATAATGCTATGACTTCTTTTATTTTTAATGTCTTTATTGGTGGCAATGATGATGATGCACTACATCCTCAGTACAAATTAGACAAACCCAAATCGATCTAGATTGAGTTTAGTTTTTTCTTTTTGATTGATAACGTTTGCTATTGAATCTTTGAAAAGATCAAACCTTGTTTAGTTTAGTTCAATTAGATTGATCCGATCAACTTAACTCGACTTAACAGGGTTGTTTTCCTCTTGCAGATGCTATTAATATACATTTTTTTACTTGACTCTATTTCCTATTAAGACTACTACTTGAGGAGTGGCTTGTAGCACCAAGCCTCTAGGAGGATTGTTGGCTAATGACAATTTGCTTAAATCTCATATGAATTTAAATAGCTGACATGTGACAATTATGAGTAACACATGTGCTTTTATTCCTTTTTGTATTTGCTATTTGATTAAATTTCAATACATTAAATTAGATACAACTGTTCTTTCACTAATTTTTTTGCTTTACAAACTAGTAGAAATTTTTTACTTAATAACTCAAAATAAAAAATTGTCATGCCTAAATTCAGCATTTGAATTTATGAATTATATTAATTAATCGTGTTTATGAAGTAAACCATGTTGTGCAGATTAAATTATTCTATAATTAAAGAGAAATAGAATATGTTTATTATAATAATATTCTATTTTAAAATATTTTTATCTTATAATTTTTGGTTGTTTATCTAATTGAGTCTTCTAGTGAGTTTTATCATACAAATTTAAAAAAAAACATGAGACTAGACAACTTTAAGATAAACATTGTTTTAATTCATTTCATTTAAATTAATTATGATTATCTACTCATTTTCACTTTAAATATACTAGTAAGATTACATGAGTCAAAATATAGTATCCTCCATAGCTTTCTGTCATTCTCTCTCCCTCTCTCTCTTGACACACATATATCTAACTACTCTCTCCTTTTACACTCTCATATCACAATAGTCCCACACTATTTACATGGGGATACTATATATCATCAAGAGAAAAATGAAAGAGGAAAAATCGGTTACATGATAATATTAAATGAATATGGTTGCATGAAAAAAATTGTGTTATGTCGTTTGTTGCTTGTACTAGAATTATTTGACTTTTGCTAGCTTGATCATAATCACCATGTCTCTTTGTCTTAGCCAAATTCTCTACCTTCCAAATGAGCTTACCTTAGAAAATTTGAACTGTAAAATTTACCCAATTATTTTTCTTTCCGTGATTGCAAGCTCCTTGGCAGAATCCTTATTTTCATTCATGAATGAGCGTCATCTACAACTTTCCAAAATTAATATTTGAATAGGTTTGTGTGTGCATAAAACTTCTTCTGTAATTCGTTGGTCCCATATGTTTGGAGATGATTTACCATGCTGTAATATTTATTTCAATGTTTGGTTATGACGGGCCCTTGTTAGATTGAAAAAAAAACATTTTCAAAGATCATTGGCCGTCCCATTGAATTGGAGTAGATGGAATTATTTTAATTTTTCTTTCTAAATTAGATTGGTTGCACCATGTAAAGTGGGGAATTTAAATTTATCATCAATTTGAATTGATTCTAATTTTAATGTAATGATTTGCAACTTGAATTATTATATTAAATTATTATTATTATTTTAAAATACATGCGTGACCCAAGCTTCAATTAGTTAAATGCATGAATATTTTACAACAATATTGACAATTTATTACAATAATTGCAAACATATTTCAAAAATACATGAATAATTTGTGACCATGATGTCAATATTATGTTTTTAAACAAATAGAACATGATTGATTTTTATATGTTAATTTCATGGCAAAAAGTTTGCATATACAATTGTTTTCCTTCATTTGTCCTACATCAATTCTTCCTTTTTTTTTTTTTTTTTTAATTTTTTTCTGAAGAGATTAGGACGTTAATGAAAAGAAAATATAGCCGATGCAATATGATGAAACTATGCAAGTAAAATAAGCGTGCAAAATTAATACACAACCACTTCTCATTTTCAATAAAATAGAATATCTCAATCAAATATACTATGCAATATTTGTTATCAGGTTCCGAACCCTGGGATATACACAAATCAATTGAAGGATTTTTTTTTCTTTTTTGCATGATGTTACTGAAAATATTAATATTTGTATTTATAAGCGCACGATATTAATATTTGTATTCAGACTGTATTGCCTGATTACAGTGAAAAGTGTGCAAGGGCCGCTACACCGGCACCCGGGTGTAGTGTTAAATAAACAAGGGTTCCCACATTACGGGCGAATGCGGGTAAAGAAGTTAGTCCATGAAACTAATGAAACTAATGAAACTAATATTAGGATAGGATCTTGGAATATATGCACTCTCAATGGTAAATTAATAGAATTACTTGATATTATGATTCATAGGAAAATTAATATCTTATGTATTCAAGAAACTAAGTGGGTTGGAGAAAAGGCTAAGGAGATTGATAATTTAGGTTTTAAATTTTGGTATTCTGGTAAGAGTCGCATTAGAAATGATGTAGGTTTAATTATAGATAAGAGTTTGAAAGATAATGTTGTAAAAATTAATAGAGTTGGTGATACAATTATAGCCCTTAAGATTATCATTGATACTAAGATTTTTAATATTATAAGTGCTTATGCTCCTCAAATAGGTTTAGATACAATGCCTAAAGATAAATTTTGGAATGACTTAGAAGACTTAATACAAATGATACCACTTGAAGAAAGAATTTTTATTGAAGGAGATTTAAATGGACATGTCGGTAGAGTGGTAGAAGATTTCATAAATATTCATGGTGGCTATGGTTTTGGAGTAACTAATGAAGAAGATATAGTTATTTTAGATTTTGCTTTAGCGTATGATTTTGTTATTATTAATATTTTATTCAAGAATAGAGATAAACATCTTATTACTTATAAGAGTGGATCTAATAAAACACAAATTGATTATTTTCTTATGAGAAGAAGAGATCGTCACGATTGTAAAAATTGTAAGGTCATTCCAAGTGAAAATTTAA